ATAAGCAAGCGGGTTGACTCAATGTGTCCTCCAGCAGAAAACTGACTCCAGCAGAAGTAGTAGCTCCCCGCGGGAAGAGTAGAATCTGAAGATCCTGGTGTGCGTGCCTCACAGCAGTCCTCTGCGACAGTGGAAAGAGTCGCAGCTGTCGCGGACCTCCACTCACACACACACTAGGCTACAATAACCTAGTATGGATATTGTGGTATACCCCAGCAAGGTGGCAGAGAGGCTGTGTCCTTGACGCTAATCAAGTTGGTGACACTAGTGTAGTGGACGCCCTGGAAGACGTGAGTGCTTCCGTGTGATGAAGAAGGTGACAAGATGTTGTAANAAAAAATTACTTCTGTAGGATTCTCTGTTGCCTTCACGAGTAGCTCACTCTATTCCTCCGCATATACAACGCACGTTACATACCAACCGGCACATACAGATCTACGATGATCTACGATGTACAAGTACCCGGGTCAGCACGATACTGAGAATGTGTTTTTTTTGTAGCCCGGTTTGAGTGTCGTTTCTTTAGCCTTGCCTTTTGCGGGTTGCTTTTGGGAGAATCTACGGCCGGAGTGCCTCGGGTCGGAGGTGTCGAGCTGCTGTTGACCTGTATGCTTTTAGTACCAGAGAGGGCGAATCGTTCCTTACGTACGTCCATTTTTTTTCGGCGTGCAGCGCTACTGAACATTGACTCATAATAGCTATGTGCTAACATTTCCATATCATGTAGTGATTTGACTGTATTTACCATTGGGCCGACGTTAGAAGCAGCCTTGCTTGGTGAAAGTTTGGACTATTGGTCGACCCAATTCAAATAAAAGCGTTCAACAAAATTTGGCCTTGCTTCTACGGGAACGTCGCACGTGTACTTGGGCGGCGGTGAAGTTGTTCCACGGTATTATCCTGTTCACTCCTGTTCACACGTACGTTAAGCTCTCCGTGGACAGCCCGGGACGTCGCCCTACCACACACTTTCTACGCGACAATGGTGTGCGCCCTGCAGGCGATGTATGCCCACAAACTTCCGGACACATTTACTTCGTTTACCCGTAGCCATTTGGCTCACCCGGTGCGGACCTTGCGGGCAATTAGACCCTGTACGGACGCTGTGACACCCTGCCAAGGTATTCGGTCCCCAGAAGGTCCACGGGCAGGAACCCTGCCAGGGTGCCAACGCTGCCTGGGTTGTATATGCAGGTCTGTGGGCCGTGAAAGGCAACAAATTGCGTTGCCATCGCTAAGAAGGGAAGATCCTTCACTAGACTAGCAGTCTACTGCTGTACACAGCTAGCTGTGATAGCAGCTGTGGGACATACATGGACACCGCTGTCGACAGACGACACCCCATAAACGAACATTGTGACAACTGTGAGTGATATATTGGCCTTGGTGACGCCCTTCTTCCCCTTTCTTTCGTAATATTCATCATTGTACGGAGAGTTCCATCCACTCGCTTGCAGCAGCAATGTGGGCAGCTATGGTCCATCCCGGCCGGATTTTCCACAATTCCATCTGGCACTTAGGTGCACTTTTCTCCTGGACATAGCTGGTTGTTCCGAAATCTGAAAGTACCAGCAAACGCCCTGTTTCCAGGCGCATCTCCCTACGGAAAGCGATTTTTATTTTTTTCCTCCGTTGCGGCGATTTTTCCAAATAAGCCGAAAATCTTGCTTAGTTTTCCCTGGTGTGTGTTTTTTTCAGAGCACAATTCTGAGACCGGATTCGGACAGCTCTCGAAAATCCCCAAGGGAACTTTCAATCCGGCTTCGATTCGAGTAAAAAATCAACGAGTTACCGAGCAAAAACCGGATTTTAGGTGTCATTTTGCTTAGTTTTTACCGTGACATCCAACCGTACGATTTCAAAATAGACCGCGGCAATCGATTCTTCTCGACAATCCCCAGGGGAACCTTCTTTCCGATTCCCGAAAATAAATCCCGTTCGCGAGATATTTGTAATTTTGCGACGTGGCTCTGCTGGCTGAGAGGATTTTTTTCCCCGGGCACACAAACCCACAGAACAAACTTGTGCGCGGGGCGCAATCCACCCCCACACAACCTGCAACGGCGCTCAGCACCCGAAACTCTGATGGGTCGGCTGAAAAAGTGCGGCCGCCGATTTCAAAGGGGGAGCAAAGGCCACTTCCAGCGGCGTGAACCTTCTCCAAGCCCGCCACCACCACCCGAAAACAACACCAGTCCTGTGGCGCCACCACCCGAAATCGATGACGACGAAGACAACAACGAGGACAACGAGGATTCGCGCGACGAGGACTGGCGCGACGAGAGCGCTGCTGCCGCCTCATGTAGCGGTCAGACCATCCTGTCTTTAGGGTCCGCTGCTTCATGTGTCGTGGCTGCAGCAGCGCGAACGGTGGAGAGTGGA